ATGCGATGCACCGTTAGAAAGCTCTATTAATTCTGCGTTGTTTGCATGTTCTCTTTTCACTATTCGTTTTGCACATTTCGCAATGCTTTGAATTGAAGAGCATGTTCGCCAAAAAATTGTGCACAATTACTGTACAGAAAACGGTGTTTCGTACCGAAATTTGGCAAAACGCTACAAAGTTAGTGTTAATAGTGTTAAAAATATTATAATCAAGTTTGGGGAGACATGCTCTCTAAAAGATTTGCCAAAGACTGGTAGAAAAAAAGGTCCAAGGGATGCCAGCGTCGATAAGAAGGTGCTGGCCTTAATTCACAAAAATCCCACGATGTCAGTTCGAGATTTGGCCAAAAAAACGCGTACGAGTACAAGTATGGTTCAACGCATAAAACAACGGCATGGACTAAAGACGTATAAAAAACAAAAAGTTCCTTAAAAAAGTCTGCGTCAACAAAACGGCAAAACGAGAGTGCGCAGACTTTATGATCGCTTGCTCACTGATGCAGTGGAATGCGTTGTAATGGACGATGAAACATATGTAAAATTGGACTCCAAAACTTTACCAGGCCCCCAATTTTACACAAAAGCCAAAGGTGAAACAGTTGACGACTCGGTCACCAAAATAGAAGTGGACAAATTTGGGGAGAAAGTCCTGATATGGCAGGCAATTTGCACCTGTGGCTTAAAAACCAGCCCATTTTTTACGAAAGGCACAATTAACGCTGACGTTTATCAAAGAGAGTGCATTAAAAAACGTTTAATACCATTCTATCGAAAGCACAACGTGTCGACAATATTTTGGCGCTCCTTGAGGCGGAAAACATCAAGTTTGTTTCAAAAGAGGAGAACCCACCAAATTGCCCAGAGCTGCGTCCCATTGAGAGATATTGGGCCATCGTTAAGCGAAGTATATTAAAAAATGGTAGTCTCTCCCAAAACAACATAGACATGCAAAAAAACTGGATGCGTGCAGCCGGCAAGGTCACCAAGGAGGGTGTGCAGAACCTGATGAGAGGAGTTAAACAAAAAATTCGCTCAAAAATAAGATGTTAATTTTTTTTTAATTCTGTTTATAAAAATTGAACGTTTAAGTTTTGCTTCAAAAAAGACAAAAAGAAAAATTGAAATCGAATAAAAAACATGAAAGTTATAGTAGAAAGAAAGTGTGCAGTTTCTTTTCGGCACATTCCTTATAAAACGAACACAAATTTATCTCCCCAGGAAAAAAAAGGGTTATATTAGTCTTCTTCATCCTTGCAGATGGTATTATTGTTTTAGTCCGTAAAGCAAATACTTTTAACATTACCATGTTTGTGGTAATGATTTTGTTCTGAAACCTCCCAAACGAAATGCACTTGTCCTTTTCTCTTGTTCCTAATAAACTATTTAACAAATTAAAGCACCGAATGCTTCAAATCGAATGACTTTAGTTAAGTTGTGCATGATCAAAACAATCTAGCTAATCCTCTTGTTCTCAAGAATTCGAGGTTACTGAGGACTGTATTTAAATATCAAGCCAACCACTGCATTACTGAATCACTGAGTTAATTGACACAATCTTAAGATAAACAAGGAAGAACAGAGTACCTCGACTATCGCCACCACTACTCAGCTAAAGGGACCAAAGGGAGATGGAGATTGCAAGCAGCTAAGCGAGATTGTAATGCGCCACCTACCCGTGATCTCAATATATGGTTATGTGGGCGCCAGACAGATTTAAGCGTTATGTGCGTTAGAGTGGGCGTCGTAATTATACCCGTTACTCGTAGAGTAAAAGGGTATACTAGATTAGTCGGTAAGTATGTAACAGGCAGAAGGAAGCGTTTCCGACCCCATAAGGTATATATATTCTTGATCAGGATCACTAGCCGAGTCGATCTAGCCATGTCCGTCTGTCCGTCTGTCTGTCTGGATGAACGCTGAAATCTCGGAAACTATGGGAGCTAGGCTATTGAGATTTGGCGAGCAGATTCCTGAGCTTCTTACGCAGCGCAAGTTTGTTTCAGTAGAGTGCCACGCCCACAAACCGCCCAGACCTCTGGCTCCTACAGTTTTGATGCTAGAATAAAAATTTCAACTGAAATGTAATGTTCTCATCAATACCTATCGATTGACCCAAAAAAAAGTAGCCACGCCCACCCTAACGCCCATAAACCGCCCACAAACTTCAAAAAATCGTAAGTATGAACGTGAATATCTCGGAAACTATCAAAGATAGAGAATTGGGATTTCAGATTTAGATTCCGTAGCCTTATACGCAGCGCAAGTTACGCGAATATGGCGCATTTTAATCTCGCTTTGCTACTTGCATATCACTATTTAGCTGAGTAACGGGTATCTGATAGTCGAGGTACTCGACTATAGCGTTCTTCCTTGTTTTTTTAAGGTCAATCGATAGGTGTTAATGGTACTAATACATTTCAGTTAAAATTTTTTTCTAGCATGCAAATTGTAGGCGTTACAGCGTTTGGTGGGCGTGAGAGCGGGCGTGGCAAACTTTTTTTTAGGTCAATCGATGAGACTAAAATATTTCAGCTTAAGTTTTTTTTTAGCATACAAATTGTGGCACCCACGTGTTTGAGCGGTTTGTGGCCGTTAGACTGGGCGTGACATATTCGCGAAATTAACTTGCGCTGCGTACAAGGCTTCGGAATCTTAATCTGAAATCCCATTTCTCTATCTTTGGTAGTTTCTGAGAAATCAGCGTTCATATTTACGAATCTTTTTAGTTTGTAAGCGGCTTGTGGGCGTTAAAGTGGGCGTGGCAAACTTTTTTTTAGGTCAGTCGGTCGGTTTTTGTTTTATCACTAAAAGAGTTAGAGTGGGCGTGGCACCCTGCTGAAACAAACTTGCGCTGCGCAAGAACCTCAGGAATCTACATGACAAATCTAGCTTTTGTAGCTTTCGAGACTTCTGCGTTCATACGGACGGACAGACCGACAGAGAGACAGATGCACAGGCGGACATGGCTAGATCGACTCGGCTAGTGATCTTGATCAAGAATATATATACTTTATGGGGTTGGAAACGCTTTGTTTTTCCTGTTACATACTTACTATTTTTCTTAAAAAGCCGCAGTGTTCAAACTTCTATATATGTACAAATATTAAAGCATGTTAAGTTTGTTACCAAAAAAAAAAAACCGTTGCTCTAAGAAACGGGCAAAGATAACGGGAGATGGAAATAAGGAAGCAGCAAATTGGCTGCTTCCGAGATTGCACACTTATGTAAATGTAGGATTTGAATCTGGCGGGCCTACACGGCACACTCGCAGCGGGTTAAGTTATATTTTAACTCTTAATCAGTTCGCCATCTAAAAATCCTCGATAAAGAACTCGATTCTTTTAATGCCGCCGATACCTGCACGAGTGAGCGTTCGTGAAGACAACAATACAATTCATGTGACATAAAAGAACTCTGTAAACTTAATCTAAGCACTTCTATGTTTAAACTTGATCCAAAGGACAATTTTTGGCATGAATATAGATATTGATAATAAAACCAAAATGCATTTACACTTTTACCAAACCTTTAAAACTGCGGGTGAAAGATAGTTTTTAGCGTGGGCATATGGGCGTTTGTGGGTGTGGCACCCTACTGAAATAAACTTGCGCTGTCCCAGGCCCAATCTGCATGCCAAATCCCATCTTTCTAGCTTTTACAGATTCTTAGATTTCACAGTTCATACGAAAGGACAGACAGATGGTACCTGCTACACGCATTCGAAGAATCTTTTAAAGAGGTATAATTATTAACAAGGAAGAACGCTATAGTCGAGTGCCTCGACTGCCAGATATCCGATACTTAGCTAAAGGGACTAAAGGGAGATATATATTTACAAGCAGCAAAACGAGATTGTATTGCGCCACCTACCCGCAATCTGAATATATGGGCTTGGAAAACTTTTTTAGGTCAATCGATAGGGATTGACGAGACAAATACAATTTAGTTAAAAAATTGTTCTAGAATGAAGACTGTAGGCGCCACAGTCTTGGTCGGCCTATGGGCCTTTGAGTGGGCGTGGCAAACTTTTTTTTGGTCAATCGATAGGTATTGGCGAGTCTAATACATTTCAGTTTAAATTTTTTTCTAGCACCAAAATTGTAGGGACCACGTTTTTGGACGGCTTCTGAGCGTTTGAGTGTGCGTTCCGCATTCGCGTAACAAACTTCCGCTGCGTACAAAGCTACGAAATCTAGATCTCAAATCCCAATCCTCTATCTTTGGTAGTTTCCGATATATCCGCTTTCATACTTACCATTTTTTGAAGTTAGTGGGCGCTTAAGTGGCGTGCCAAACTTTTTTTTTGGGTCAATCGATAGGTATTGATAAAAGTACTACATTTAAGGTTTTTTAACATTTTTATTTTAGCATTTTCTTTGTAGAAGCCAAAGCTTAGACTGGGAGTACCCTGACGAAACAAACTTTCGCTGCGCAGGAATATCTAGAATCTGCATGCCTAATCGCAGTATGGCAGCTTTTATAGTTTCCGAGATCACAGCGGTCACAGCGGCCTAGACCGACTCGGCTAGTGAGCCTGTTTCGTTAATATATATACTGTATGGGGTCGGAAACGCTTCCTTCTACCTTTTTCATACTTTTCGACGAATCTAGTATACTCTCTTACTCTATGAGTAACGGGTAGAATAACACTATTGTACATTAAAAATGCTCCAAGAAGGATGACGGTAAATTCTGATTTTGTTGGGAACTAGACAAATCGGTATCTCCGCGCTTTAATTTATATCACGAGTTGCTTTTAACCAACCAAGGTAATATATGTTTTATTTACAACTAACATTGCGGAATAAATGAAATCGGTACATTGAGTATATTGAGCTACAACTCGACAAACATTGAAAATGTGAATTTTTTTTAGCAATGTAGTGACTGTAAGTCGTTTTTTAAGTCTGATAAATTCCTTTTAAATTAACAAATAATACCGAAAAAGTCATTTGAACGTATGAAGCTTATTGTCAGTTTCGCTTTTTGTTCACTTACAGCCCCCCGAGAACGAACTGCAGAAGTCGCATGACCACAGTACGGCCGCCTTGAGCGAACACCAACTGCGCGTCCAGGCATCGCTTCAGCGGCTCAATATACCAGATTGGTACCGTGATTACAATAAACAGATCCGAAAGTTACCAGATGTCGGCAATGCCGCCACAAACTCAATTTCCGGTGGACTTCAGCTTGGCAACTTTACCCGCAAAGGCACACAGGAGTCAGGACGTTGGCTGGGGCTCAACTCAAAGACTACCTCTCTCAGCTCGCTGGGATCGGATCGAAGTCCCCTCCTGATGAGTCCCTCGGCAAATAGTCATCACGGCGGCCATAACACCTATCCTTGCGTCCCGATCGCGGGTCACGGCTCAGCTACTGGACAGACGGGCGTGAGTGCCACGCGCTGGTCCACCTCGCACCTCAGCTCCACTCAGACGTCACCAAGTGTCTCGCAGCGCGGAAACTTTGCACGTGGAGCCTATATTAATAGTAGCTTCATGTCCGTGGCTATCGCAAACGGCGGATTGCGTAATTCATACCGGCAGCCGTACCTGGGGTGGCGCAGTACCGAGAAACTATCCCATTGGACGCCCCATGAACGGTTAGTACTGAAAACACCTAATATCTTTCTAATTACTTTAGACATATTAACAATTTCTGGCTAAGTCATAATAACTAAGTAGGTATTTAAGAAAGTCTTGAGAATCGCATCTTTAATATATCTGAGTAAACATCTCTTGACAAAAATTAAATAAAATATGTGACAATATAAATACCTTTTTTAAAATCCGAATTTGACACAACGGATTTACCATCTGAGAGATCCGTATTATCTAGTGTCCTCTATATTACTAGATTTTCCGGATAAAGATTGTTACAAATCGCCAAAGATGTAAGTCCGTAATTCTTCACATATCCGACAGTGCCTATTCGACAGTGTGACCATATATATTTATATTTGGTTCCTATATTACAATTTGATTCCAATCCGTTTCCTTACTTCTGAGTTAAAATTCTAAATTATTTAACGTCATGGCAACATCAGTAAAATCCGCTTTAACCCGATTTATGGCCACAGCTGACTGTCTGATCCACTTTGAGGCCACTGTGAACGCTCCATGTGCTCCTACCCCAACGTTATCCGCCTGTAAAATCCGACGAGATCACTTCAATTCCTTGTGGCAAACGGTAAAGGCAGCATACGACATACGCTCCGACTGCATTATAGCTGCAGGCGAGAGCACCGCAGACGCGAAATCCATACTAAAGTCCAAGTATTACCAAACGTACTCCACTTATGAAATATTTGCCGCGCAGCTTATGGAACAAATCCAAAAAGGCTCCTCCCAAATACCTCAAGCTCCAGTAACTCCGTCCCGAAGTTCCACGTCTTATGGCTGTCGGCTCCCTCCTATCGACACAGAGGTTTTCTCTGGCGATTATCTTCGCTGGCCGACTTTCCGGGACCTTTTCACGGCAACATACATAGACAATCCGAGTCTAACGCCCATTGAAAAATTATTCCACTCATTCCATAGTTTCAAGATCCCAACTCACCAATGATGGTTTTCGCTCAGCCTGGAATAACCTAACTGAGCGTTTCGAAAATAAGCGATTGCAGGTGAACAGTCACCTGAAAACACTTTTCAATGTGCAATCCATAGCACAGGAGTCGGGAGCAGCCTTAAAAGAACTTCAACGCACTTTTCAAGGTTGCTTAACTTTTTTAAAATTTTGCGGTGTTAGTATTGAGAATTGGGACCCTACCCTGGTGTATATGTGCTCAACAAAACTACCAAAGCTCACTCTCTCATTATGGGAGCAATACATCCAAAATAAAGCCGAAATTCCTACGTGGCTTGAGCTTGATTCCTATTTGACGGAGCGCCATCGATCTCTTGAGGCCGTCGATAGCTTCCGATCTGCCAATTTCCACCACGTCCACCAGATTTAAGATCTTTTTGATTTAAAAATATTTAAAATTTCAGTTAAATATTTAAGATCTTTTTGATTTAAAAATATTGATCAATAAGGCCGTGAAGGTCAGTCTGCGGTGAACATTATAACACGTAAAAGGGCTAACTCGAAAAAAGTTTAAACTTAAATCATGGAATCAGATTTTTGGTTCTCGAATGATATTTTAAGCTTACACGATCTTGTATACTTAAGATACATGTTTGCATAGCTTACAACAAAATGAACTTTTTGAAAAGCCTATGTGGATTAAATTATGCTAATATACACATATATAGGCATATCTGTACACGTTGTTTTAAATCCTAACGTGTGGTATTTGTGAAATCGCGGCTTGAAAAAAACAACATTAATCTTTTGTCTAAAAATATCTGAGAGAATTTTACTCATTTTATTGATATGCTTGCTAGTAAATGGCTTAGACAACTGATCAGGCAATAGTCGATCTCTTTGCCAAGTTTTTTCAAACGACATATTATACTTTACCTCATTCTTCACAGCCTTACTCTTAAACTGTGTCCAAGTCGAATTTAATATTCTGTCCCACCTTAAATGAAAACTCCCTTCTTGTTGATCCTCAACGCGTTAGGCCCGTCTATTCGCCTGGTCCCGATGGAACTCCTAACAGCGTTCTTAGATATGGCACAATTCACAATTTTCCGATATGTGGAAGGAATCGTTTGAAATTCCTCTCCACAAGAAGGGTAGCAAAGTATAAGCAAGCAAATATACAGGTATCTCTAAACTGTCAGCCATCCCAAAGCGCTTTAAAAATATTATTACTTTCCATTTGCTGCAACTCTGTCAGTTATATCTCCGTGTCAACACTAGCTTGTGAAATGTAGATCAACCACTAACCTTTTGGAACTTACATAATTTGTGATAAAGGGACTTAAGAACTGTATTCAAGCATGCGTCATTTACGCTGACTTTATTCAAGCATTTGACTCTGAAAATCACGTTCTTCTGGTTAGAAAACTCGATTTATTAGGGTTCCCTGTTGATCTTTTAAGAACAATCTTAATCTATCTGAATTGCAAAACACAGTCACTACTTTTTAAAAATTCTCTCTCTTCTTCTTGGATACTGATGTACGCAGCTGATGTTTAACTATGCCTACAGTAAAAGGATACTTCTTTCCATTCCGACTTGCAATCCGATTTGAATAATTTTCAAACATTGTGCTCTGACAATTTACTGGATTTGAATGGTTTAAAGTTTAAGGTAATGACTTTTTGTCGAGACAATCCTCAATATTCGACATACACGCTGAGTGAGAGTTCATTGGATAGAACAACTGTAGTAAACGATCTTGGCGTTCTTTTGGACACAAGACTAAAGTTTGCTGATCATATTTTAACCATGATGATTTGCCTTGCGACTTGTTAATTGTCATTTGTTACGTGGGCATATTAGTGCCCGAGTCCTGACAAGGACTTGGGCCGAGGGAGAGGCGTCCGATGTTCAGAACAACGGCCACTATCGACCTATTGGTAACCATACTCCGGTAGCTGGCAAAGGGCAACAGTCGGCCATTGACTCCCAAGATAGCAGATATCAAGAAACAGTAATTCTAGGTGGGAACACCTAGTTTATCCGATCCATACCCGCAGCCAAGTAAAAGCTCTAGTCTGGTATAAAAGACCTTAGACAAATAGAGAGAGGGAGAGAATCCATTTGGGTGTCTTGCTGACGGAAGCCGGCAGCTTCGAGGGAAGGCGACTTTCCCTGGGGCAGTCGTCCATGGAGTCTTCTGCCACCAGGACCAGCCACCAGGACCAGCCACCATATCCAACAATCCTTGAGGAGAACACAATTGCAGCTCGAAATAATCTTGTGTCGAACCAGCGCCGCTATTGCCATCAAAGAACGTGGAGAAGATCAACAATAAGGACGACATCCGACATACTGCGATGTTTGTGGACGCAGTATCCGTGATCTCCATGCTCCTGAAATTTGTTCAGCTGTAGGAACCATCCGTTCAGAGCGTAGCGACCAATAGCATACGTCGGAGAAAGTAGTGATGCAATATAAATGTGTTAATCGAGCCAACCAAAGCTAAAGTGAACTCATGCATAACCAAGGACCAATATCCTCAAATAATACAATTGGATAACAAGTGAAAATCAAGCATTCAAACATGCATTGAAATATATTTAAACCAACCGAATCAATAGACAAAGTGCGAATCATGATAAACAATTAGAGAGGACGAATCTCTCCACCAGCCGTTGAAGAAGTCGCATGCCTCTAGCATAATATATATATATTTTGTGTTTAAGTGAATTGATATACTTAAGAACAGCCGTATTTTGGTGCACGTATATTTATATATATATATCCAACATAATATTTTCCCAAGGCCCAGGATCCGGAGCGTCGAGATCTCATCGCCCAGGATTTAAAGAGGGGGTAAGTTTGTCGGGACACGGTTCCTTTCTTATAAACATACATATATAAATATTCGTGCAGTATCCTACAGTTTTATAGACTACTATAAACTTTTGCAGCGGCGAGTATCAGCCTTGTAGTTATTTGATAATTGCAAGAGCCCTCTGAGCGACGTTTGAAGTCGTGAATAATCAGTATTTTTCTGATGTGTGCACCTTCATAGGTGATAAATTCGATACTCTCCGCTAAAACAATAATTGTCAATTAGTTTGATTCCTATATGAAGTAGCCAATATTATGTTATTCAACACCGGCGCACGCCGACCTAAATATTATTTAATAAATTTATAACGTGAAAAAGAATTTGAAAACCATGGTGTGCTAGAACTATAACAAAGGGGGTGTGCTGACGCGAGGAGTGAAGTAGGTCAAGAACAATGACATAACTTTCGACGGACAACCTTGACAATAGGGGATCGTATTGCGCGGCCCGCGACGATCCATTGGCACACGAATGTGTGAAGGGGAGGGAATATGGCCAACACACAGCCCGATCGTATTGCGATCAAGCGACAGCTAAGCTTGTTGGGCAGTGTGGACTGATGACTGACGAACTTGATGACTATTATTATTTTTCCAGGCACTTTTAATATTTATTCTCGTTATGTTGGAGAGGAGAGAGGCTTACCAAGATCCCACGACCCGAATACGACGTAGCTTATGCCGGCAAATGGTGCCTGAACATCGGACGCCTCTCCCTCGGCCCAAGTCCTTGTCAGGACTCGGGCACTAATATGCCCACGTAACAGAATTGGCGCCCAACGTAGGACATTTCATATTCCTTAAGGAATTTTACCAGAGTCCACAATCTCGATGCCTGCGGTATCGGAGTGGATGTACCTAGGGATGGCAAAGCTTTCATCTTTGTTTGCCACGAGTAACTTGACTGTTTTATAGAGCAGGGAACTTAAATAATTTTAAATGTGCACCTACTTATTTGTTTTTGTCTTTAAATTAATAACCGTAAAGTCCCCAACTTCTGTGACTGTCAGTGTTGAGTGGCCACTCAATCAGAACTTTGTCGCAGAATAGAGGCCTGACTTTGAAATGATTTGTAACATTAGAAATTCCCTGTTTTGTTCATGGACAAATTTACCAGAATTTCCTTAAAACAATAACTATGAGTTATCCTTTTTATAATACTATACCTACAACTAAGTGTCGACGACTACTTGT